AGTTGGTTAAGCTGCAGCAAGCTATGGAAGCAGATAAGCAAGTGTTTGAGACACAGTTGATGGAGTTGATGAAGCAAAACAAAATGTTGAAGTGTGGGATCTTTGTTATGGTAATTTTAGTCATTGCCATGTGGTTGAAATGACCTTGAAAAGTACAGCTGATCAAATAGGTGTTTATGGTTGATGGTATATAATTCCAACCAGTTTTTTGGAAAGTGTATGGGTGGATGTTAAAAGTTGTTTGATTTTTTGGGAAGTGTATGGGTGTATGGGTACATGGTCATGGTTAGATCCTAGTTGTAATGTATAGTCAGGTTTTTGGTTGAATACTTGTTTGATCAGTGTGTGTATAGGATGTTAGATGTAATGGAATGTAGATGTAATGGGATGGCAATACATGGGAACAGTTGTAATGACTTTGTGTAGATTCAATGAATGATATGAAAGATCCTAGTTGTGATATACCTTGCTAAATTTTATAATATGCATGTGCTCCTTTTAAAAATTAAAGTGTGGGTACCACATTGTCGGCCATAAGGAACTCACTTGGTCCACTTAAAAGTGCATTGTGTTTAGAGTTCTGTGCAGGGGTATATATATGGAAAAGTAAGGCTTAGTAAGGGTATATGGACCACTGACCACACGTGGTATATAAGGACATAATCAATGACAATTTTAAATTATCTATATATGCAAATATGTTCCATTGCCATGCAGTTTAACCAGACAAGTCCTTGTCGGTAACGACGTAATATTTCAAACCAATTTTTCATTTTTAAAACACATAAAACTCATATATTATATTTCATAAAAATCATAAGTGTCTCAATGTCAACATAAATCCACAACAAAAGTCAAATCCCAGAATCCTCAACATAACTTCGAACAGATGTGTACAATCACGCCGGTGCCTTCCCGCGATCCTCGGAAGTACCTGAAACACATAACACGGTAAGCATAAAACTTAGTGAGTTCCCCAAAATACCACATACAACATATTAGCCACCCGAGGCTATAACTCTGTAAGACCCTCCGGTCAATGTGTCTCAGTGGGACCCTCCAGTCCCACAACTCTGATGGACCCTCCGGTCCTAACTCTATAAACTCTGAATACACATAGCATAAATCACACAGACATAATGCAGTAATATCACAGTACTCAAATAAACATATAAGACCCTCTGGTCACACATAAATACCACTCTAGGCAAAGTATAGTGAGAAGACTCACCTCGTAAGCTAGCTAGTAAAATCGCGTGCTCAGAATCCTCGATCTAGCCTCCGCCTATCACAAGGATAATATCTCTAATTAATACTCTCCTCATACTCGACTACACCATTCATTGGTCTTTCTTACACTCTTAGCCCTAGAAATGGGTAAAAGACCATTTTACCCTTCCTTGATCTCCATTACTCATTTGACCAACCCTAAAGTCAACAGAAGTCAATTCCAGTCAACAGCCCAAATTGACCAGACTCGCCGAGTGCACTCGTGCGACTCGTCGAGTCCCATCGTTCTCAGTAATCTCATGAAGGTCCAGCTCGTCGAGTTAACCCCTAACTCGCCGAGCCATTGCATGATAAAGCTCATCGGGACAAACCCTAATCTACTCGCCGAGTTGGCTCATCAACTCGGCGAGTCCATTCAGACTCAACTTGCATTCAGACGATTTTAAGCCATGATACTTTCCCAAACTCCAGATCCACACTCTCAGGACTCCTTTATCACGTAAAGTCATAGACTTTACGTCCATGCATGGCATTTTGGGCATGAAATGCGAAGAACATGATCTAAATGGGTTTTTCACTCATAAATTTCCCCCAAGGCTGAATAAAGCAGGAACCTTTAGATGCTAGGGACCTCCTAAGGTCCAGATCTGGAGTTCAAGCCTCCTCATGAACCCCAAATCCTCAAAGTCCCAAAATATAAAGAAAAGAAGCCCTAATCTTCAAAATGAGAGATCTACTCAAATAAGAGAGAAAGGTTCAAACTTGATACCTCTAACAGAAGCCCTTGGATGTATATTGACAGATCTAACAACCTTCTTTTGCTCCTTGCTTGAAACCTTCTCCTTTCCTTGCAAAGATACACCAAAATGCTCAAGGTTAGCTCTCTCTTTTTCTCTATAAGCTCAAAGATCGTTTAGGGTTTCTCTCTGGAAAAAGTGGCAGCAAAGGGAGGCTATAAGTGCCTTTAAATAGGCCACATGCCTGAGAAATTAGGGTTTCCTTCAGCAGCGCTGACTCGGCGAGTCGCCTCACAGACTCGTCGAGTCCATTCATTAATCCACGTCACCAGCCGCGACTCTACTCGACGAGTTGAGGCACCAACTCGGCGAGTCACTCCAAAAATCTCAAATTAAATAATAAAATATTATACCTGGGAATTCGGATGTTACATTGTCATGCATGCAACTTCAAATAAACACAACAAAAAGCTCAAAATAACAACCAACTTATTTAACACAAAATACAAATCACATAAACAAACATAGTTTCATACAAACTAACGTAGTTAATAGCAGTTTCATAAAAACAGCAACAATACACCAAAACACATCATTTAACACTACATACCATGTTCATATCAGATAAACCAACACTTAAAGTTATTCTAGAGTAACAGGTTTAGCTTCTGAATTCCCAGGTGCATCTGCACCACCAACTTTCTTGCCCAGCTTCAACTTGATAATCCTTTCAGATTTCTTCCTCCTGATTTTCTTCAACAGGGTTTCAACTGGTGTTTCTCTAGCCTCCTGTTCTTGCACATGAACCTGACTAGGTTCTCCATTTGCTGATGCATCAAACTCCAAAGGAGTGAGTTCCACCTCATCATAGTCTTGTTGCACATGTACCTCATTGACTGCTTCTCCACCATCATTTACTGCTCATCCATCATCATTTACTGCTTGATCACCCTCATGCACTTCATCACCTTCATTCATTGCATTAGCTTGATTACCTTCATCATCCTCATTGGGTGCTTCAGCTACACCCTGATTGACCAATATGAAACATTACTAGAAATTTAAAAAGAAACTGTAAAGATTAACCATTTAAATACTTATTTACCTGTTTTGTTTTTCTTCTAGCTTTGATTTTATGAGGCCTTGTCAAAGTACAAGCTCTTTTGTTGTGTTCTTCAATCTTACAAAGGCTACATTTTTGTTTTTTCCCAGCCTTGGATACCTTCACCTGCTCCTTACCTTTGTTTTGTGTTTGGGTAGTTTTCTTTGATTTTTTACTTGACTGGTTTGGGTTTTCTGTTGCATCCCTTTTCCTTTTAGTTGCAGGTCTCCCAGGCATAGTTCTACGAATAGGAGGTAAAGGTGGGGTGTTATCAGTTGTAGGCCACAAATTACTTCCATTCATACGTGCTAACCTAAACTTGTATGCCTTCATGTAAGTGATGCTACTAAACATTTTGTCCACATATGACTCCACATCCCTATTCATAAAACTAATAGCTGCAACAGAATGGACACAACCAATTCCATTAAGCTGCCAAAGCCTGCATGAGCAAGTTCTTTATTCAAGATCCACCTCATAAGCATCTGTAGTTCCTCTTACTTCAAATTGATTTAGTCCACTAGGTAAAACTTGGTAATGTCTTAGACCCTTCTTAATCTCATTCACTATTTCTCTAATTGTTGGACAAATTTGGTTGCCCCATCCTAGACCCTTGCATTTCTTGTTGAACACCCTCTCCATCATATACATCCTCAACTCCTCTAGCATGGTGATAATTGGCTTCTTCCTAGCATCAACAATCACAACATTAAAACTTTCTGACATTCCATTCTCCACAGCATCACAACATCTTCCTGGTTGGAAGTAGGCCCTTGACCATGTTTTAGGGTCTTTGTCCATCAGATACTGATAAGCACTTGGATCTAGCACTTCAAGCTCTTTCATGGAAACCATAAAATCTACCTCTGTTGTTGCTTTACATGCCTTCCAGAATATGCTTTCATATTGGGCACCACTATACCTTTTCCTAAGGTTTTGGCTAATATGCTTGGCACACTGCCTGTGCTTTACATATGGAAGGAGTTCTTTCACAGCCTCAATCAAACCCTGTTAACAAATTTCAAATATAGTGAATAAGGATGCAAATAGATAGGGAAATTAATTACAAATAATTAAATTATCTTGTGTTGATCCGATATTACACTGTATCCATAGCCTAAGTTAAGTCCCAAGTCATCAATGAGTAAATCCAAAAACCACCTCCAATTTTCCTTATTCTCCACACATACTACTGCCCATGCAATATGATAAATCCCATTGTTTGCATCCCTTCCAACAGCACATAATAACTCCCCTTTGCAGATCCCTTTAAGGAAACAACCATCTAAACCTATTATCTTCCTGCATCCCTCCTTCCACCCCTTCTTCAATGCATCAAAGCCAACATAGAACTTACTAAAGTAGTTCTTCCCATCTGGCATATGATTTACATCAAGCTTCACAGTGCTACCTGGATTTGATCTCCTAATCTCTTCTGCATACGACCATAACTTTGCATAATGTTCAACTAGGGTACCATCTATTAGTTGGAGTGCATATTTCTTAGCTCTCCTGCATTGACCAACACTAACATGAATACCAAACTTCTGTGACACAGCTGTTCTTAGCTTTCTAACACTCATCTTTTGTCTAAGTAAGAACTCTCTTGTATAATGACTCCCTATTCAAGCATAAGTGACCATGGACCCTAACTTGTAGTTCCTTGCACATTTGTGGACTGGATTTAAATACTTAATTTGGAAGCTTGATTCATCACTCATCCAAGATGCCCACAACCTGAATGTGCACTCACCCTTGCAACACTTAACCAACAATCTTTTCCTATCATTTTTCTCAAAGCAAAGTTGGTACCCATTCGCAACAGCATAGTTGCATAACATTGATTTTAATTGAGATGGATCTTTGAACCTCATACCAAGTATTGGGAACTGTTTTTTCCATGGAACTAACTCATTAAAAATGGAATGTTGTTAAGTTACATTGGCATCCTCTTCACGCCCATCATCATCATCTATGTTGTTATCATTTCCCTCCTCCTCTTCGCCACATAATCTATTTAGAAATTCATCACCCTTTATCCTATTCATAGTGACTATGTCCTCATTAAAGTCCACATCCACATCTGTTAGGTTATCAATTTCTTCCTCATTCTCACCACCATCAATGCATGAATCATCTCCATCCTCCTCTTCTATTTCAGAACCAAACCAATCTTCTATTCTTTGACCGTCATGGTCCACATACATACAAATTTTACCATCTGTCCCATATGCTTGAAAAATGAAACCACTATAGTCTTCATCATTAGCGATAACAGTTATCCCAGATATTAAGGGCTTACCTGGTTCACAATAGTATAACTTCTTTATACTTTCTTGCATGAACCGTTCGAGAAAGGTGATACATTCACCGTATGTCATTCCATAAAAATCGTGATCATTGAAAGTGAAGTTGATACCATGGTTATACGAGAAAGGATTTCTAAGAAAAACACCTTTGAAGTTCAGCTCCACTATAGGGTGGAGTCCATCAGGGTTTGGCCTCGAGCTAGACATTGTGGGTTGGTTGACTGCTCACTGACTTCGATCGGAGAAAACGACTTCGAACCCTAGGTTTAGTGCTTCGTATTCACTGTAAGATGAGAAAAAGGAAGAGCGAAGAAGGAGTGTTCTGGCTAAATAAATGTGTTTATTTTGACTTCTAAATCCTACGTGGATAAAATAAATGACATATATAATGTAAACTTATTCCACATAAGCAATAGCATCGGTTGTTCCGTTTACCAGGTGCATAAGGGGGTAATTAGCCGGTATTTACTAACATTAAGGATCAATTGAGCACAAAAAAAACTTTAGTGACTAAATGTGCAAATTGACCAAACATTGATGTGCTACAGTGTCAAAAACCCGGAATTTAAAGATAAAATGGTTAGATTAATCTTGTAACATATTTACTCTCACCTAATCTAAATTTCTTGTAACTTTTTCTAGTATCTTGTGAATGTTTTTAATAATTTTTCAAAAAGGCTCATGTTCCTCCCAAATTTTCCTAGAAATTTTTGCACGTTCCTACGCATTTTTGATGGATTTCCTAGAAATTGTGAAAAATAGCTTTCCTCAGGAAAAAATAAATAAACATGTTGCCAACGTTATAGCATATAGATGAGATTAATATCGTAGTAATGTCTATAGAAAACAAAAATAATCATTAATTACATGCATGTGAACTTGTGAAATAGAAATAAAAATTTATAGTTGTCTATTATCCCAACTCCCAATTCTTAAAAAATGATTTAGTTGACTATACCACATGCAAGTGTTTCCTTCAATAATATATTCAAAGACCATAATAATGTTAAAATCCTTCTTTTAGTCCAATAATGTAAAATCTTAATTTCGCACCTCTATATTGTTTTTTTTTTTCTTTTTTTTTCTTTTTTTCTAGAGCTATTTAATTATGTAATCCACTGAAAATTCTTACGGTAATATATTTATAGTTTCACAACAATATCGATTAGACAAGTTTGATCTAATTTTAGCGAACATAACTTATATAACTTGTTAATTTAAAACATAATTAGTATGTCTAAAGAATTACTTAACAAATAAAAGGTTAACAGAACCAACTTTATTGAGGATTTAAATTACATGAATTTAATAAAATTAGATGAAAAGAATATTATAAAATATTATAAAAGTACAAGCGTTAAATTAAAAAAAAATTGAACGGAAAATTTAATCCTAGTTCTAAACTACTCCTAAATACTACATATGTCCACGACAAGACTTGAATCATCAATCTCAAGGAGGGAGGACAACACTTGATACCACTGGGCTAGAAGCTCTTTGGTATTAAATTAATTAGTTAGACTTTTTAATTGAATATATAACTAACTGAAAATGTACATACCAATTGGTCTTTGGCTTAGTAGTAAAGAATGACTCTCTCAATTAAGAGATTATGGGTTCAAGTCTCGTTAAAAATATAGAACTAGATTATTTTGTTTTTCAAAAAAAAACAAAAAAAAATGAAAAATTATAATTATCTTTATATTTATTATCTTTCATGTAAATATGCTCTAGCTAGCATTGTTTGTAATTATTTTATTAACCACAAACAAACTCACATTCCATTAGCAAGATACACTAAAAACAACCAAACTTACATTCCATTAGCAAGATACACCGAAAACAACTCAACCTCTTTTATCTCATAACTCGTGAAAACTCTTATTTCTAAGACTTTTCAAATCATTTATATTTTAATTTTAAAAAAACACAAACTAATTAATTAAAATTATAAAAAACTAAGTCACAAAATATTAAAAAAACATATAAAACTAATTCACAAACTTATTAAAAACATAAAAACACATTTTTATACAACTTTTATACATGAGTACAACTAATTAAAATATACAAAAAATAGAAGAGTCTAAAGAGAGAAGGAAAGCGGGTTGGTTTCTTTATAACAACTTTTATTCTTTATAAGGGTTGGTTTATCCGCCTAGAATCAAAATTGCGGTACTTTGGGCTGCTCAGAACCGTCATCTTGGAGGTACCCCTTGGTACCTCCCCTAATTTCATTCAAGTCGCTCATGGCTCTGTGCACCCTTAGGGTGGAGGGAGTCCTATCCTCCCAACCCACTCAACCCACTGTCATATCAGCGCCACATCAGCATTTCTCTCTCATCTCTCTTCCATCTTTCTCAACCCACAACATATGAAAATCCTATCTTTTCCAACCCACTTAACTTTTTATTTTAAAATAAACTCAAACTAATAAAAATTATACAAAACTAATTTACATAATATTAAAAATATACAAACTAATTTAGAAAATAATTAAAAAACATATAAAATTGTTTTGGTACAAATTTTGATACATAATGCACAAGTGATTATTGCTTGAATTGTAATATATATATATATATATATATATATATATATATATATATATATATATATATATATATATATATATATATATATATATCTACTTTCGATATATATGTATACAAACTTATGTAGAAAAAAAAAACAAATAAATAAAACGTCACGTTTGCATATATGCATGCTATGCTTCTTGTTTTTTTTTTCTTTGAAAATTAAATGAAAAAGGAGATGCATGACCCACAAAGCAAATTGATAAAGTTTCTTGCGGTTTCTAAAAGCCGCTCAAACTAATTTTTTCAAACCCACTTAAACCGCTTGCTTGGAAGGAATGGTAACCCGACGATCCCACCCAAAAAATTTGCAACCCGCATTTCCATTCCGTTCACCCTTATAAAGAATAACATGTAGATCTATCATCTATGAATACAACATCACTTAACACATTTTTATTACCTAGACTTACATATGTTAATTCATTAGGAAAAAAAGAAAAACATAACACCGGCAACAATCAAATTTTTAGAGACACATGATTAACTATTTATAAATATTTCGCCTTCGTTAACTACATATCGTCAGCGATAAGAGAAGAGTGGAATATTTTGAACAATGAACACTTCTAAAAAACCTTTTCCCAAAAAACATTGTTTTAGATATTTTTAAGTCAAACAATAATTTTGTAGGTTAACCTGCAAATTTTATGATTATTTATAGAATGGTTTTAACTTTTTGCTTTATTTTTTACAAAATCTTAATATTTTTTTATTAGATTTGACATTTTTCTCTTGTACTCTTTCTTTATTATTATTGAAAATTTATTTTTTTATATTAATAGTTTTCATTGATTTTACATGTTACATTAAAAAAGAAAGATGTGAGATAGAGGTGATGAAAATGATTGGCATTTTCATGTTTTAAATATGGTTTAGGAATGTAATGGGAAAAGAGGAAAATATATGAGATTGTGCGGAAGAAAGATGTTGTTAGTGATTAAAGTGAGGTAAAAGATGTTACCCACTGGAAAAAAGGTATGATGGTAAATGTCTCTTTTGATTTTGTTTTGCACCTCATGCAGCCATGCTTGTCTTACATTGCGTATTTTTAAATATGATGGTATATTTAAATAATGGACATCCAACTAAGATTCTCATTCATACTTATCTTACATGAAATCTTACTTTCCTAATTTCTAATTATTATTTATCATTATTAAACTCAACTACGCCTATTTATTATATGCTCGAATATGACTAAGATATTACAAATATGAGTTAATTAATGCAAACTTGAAAATTTATACTCATATATTCCTTGCATTATTGTAAGCCTTTTTTAAATCTATCAATAATTAAACCATTAGAAAACTAGGTTCATGTGTTCCCTCTCAATTAATGCAATTATTCTATATTTACAAGAAAATTGTTAGGAAATATGTTTTTCTGAAAACAAATACTCATATATAGTGCAAATACATGACTTACGAGTGTCCAACTTATTGAGGTGACAAAATTAATAGGTCGAAAAAGTTTGGTTATTGGATCCGGCTGTCAATAATATCATCTAAACCAAGTATAATGTTAACTTTAATGTCGAGATCAAACATATTTTTAAAAATTGTTTTCAAAAATATTAATGATGGCTCTCTAATAAATATAAGGGTGTGCATCTAAAAATATTATATAATCCCTATTTTTTTCAAATGAAGGGGGTGTCCATAGACACCATTTACAATGGTGTAGCATTGTTCTTGCCAATATGAAGTCTTTATTTATAATATGTGTTATGTACATCTCATCTAGATATGAACTACACCTAAAAAATAAAAAACACCATAATTCTATATAAATGTAAATTAAAGATGTAGTTCAACTTTAACATCATATTTTAGTAATGATGATTGTGGTGTTTAAGAATGTGCTTAACAACTACTTAACCTAGAAACTATGATAATGAAATGTACAGTATGAATCAATTTGTGTAAAAGCAACCATATATCGTAAGTGGATGAAATAATGCAAAGTAAGTTGTTATAATTGAAAGTAGGACAAAGCGATATAAGTATAGATGAGTCGAAAAATGACAAGATTAAAACATATTATTGAATCATAATTTATGGAAGAAATTAAATTTTTAGAGTCATGAACTTAGAACAGATAGAAGGATGTTTGATAGCTTAAAACTTACACTTGAGACTTTGAAAGTTATAGTGATAATGTTTCCTAAGTACCTAGTATATAGGCCTTAAAGGATGATTTGGAAGTAGTTTATATGTTTATAAATGATGATAGAAATAACATATAGAAGGTTTTATGTGGAAAACTACTTGGCATGCGTAAGAAATTGATAGGTAGGTTATATATATATATATATATATATATATATATATATATATATATATATATATATATATTTATATTGCGGAAAAACTTAACTCTAAGTTCACACGCAACATATTGGATCAAAGTTTTCACTACTGATTTGAAAAAAACAATTGAACATCAAGAACCCTAAGAGTGCTCTACTATTTTCGAAATTCATTAATGGTTTTAGGGTTTACATACATTTTGATCATTGTAATAAATAATCACCAATTCCTTCTTGAACAAGCTTCGGAAAGCAAACACAAGAAATCTGGTGCCTCTAATGGTTTGTACCCAAAC